GGCGGGTAGCGTCATTCCGGCTGGCCTCCTCCCCGGAATTCCCTGCTTCTTGCCATCGGATGGGGCGCTACGGGCCCTGGGTCAGCTCCCAGGAGGGAGGGCCGCCGATGCCCTGCCCATTCCAGAGGGGGAGCCGGGGCCTAAAGAAGCGCCCGGCAGTGCGACCTGGAATATGAATCTGCGTGTGCGCTTCCTGGGCCCACCTCTAAGCTAATCGGGGTCGGAGGGACCCCGCGTTCCCGACAAATCCTCTTCAGTGATGAGAAACTGGGCCTAATCTGGGAAGCATCGCTGGGAAAGCGCAGGGCAGGTGCCCTGGGACTGAGCCTATGAATCCTGTGCTCCTCCCACGGCAGCCCAGGGCCAGGCTGCCGCCTTCTCATCCTGTTTATGGCGGAGGTTGTGCGCCACTCGTTTCCAATCACTCACTCATTCTTAACACTGACCAAGGGCAAGATTCTTGAGCGCAGTGCCCAGGCCAATGGACTGGTCAGACACGCCGGTTCGGAGGGCATGTTCCTGCCCAGTCGGTCCTCCGTCCAGGTCAGGGTTATGCTACGGGTAGGGCTACAGGACCCCTCCCCTTTGGCATCCCGAAAAGGACCTGGGTCCAAAAGTCTCCAGCAAACTCTAAATGGTCTTTAATCCCATCCAGGGCTCGGTCTGAGCAGCGCTGGTTGTTGTAAAGGAGGAGGGAGGAGCAGCAAGGAGGAGCAGGTCAAAATTCGGCTTCTTTTTTTCTACTGGGTCTCCCCATGCAGTTCAGGCTGACTTTGAACTCCCTGCCATCCTTCTCCCTCGGCCTCCCAAGTGCTGGGATACCACCCCGCATCCCCCTGGACTCTGGAAGCTGCTTCAGAAAGGCTTCGGAGAGTGTTGAGGAGCCCAAGAGCACCACCTCCTGGTGACAGCGTGCAGTGCCATCTCTAAAGGGGCAAAATCTCCTGACAAAGGGGGCTTTCTGTGTCTGTGAGGTACACCCTGCTGTGCAACAACGCGTGCAGGACCAAGATGTCCCCCGCATTCCAGCCAGCATCCAGGCTGGCCGCATTTGGGCAAGACTGTGGGTTGGCCAAGGTTTGGGTGTGGATGATACTTAAGCGAGAGTGTTCTCAATCACTTCCCTGGGGTTGCAGGGTGCAGGGCTCAGCTTTGTTTCAGCTCTGGTTTTGTCAGGGAGCTATTTCAGGTGGGCTGATAGCAAAATGCTGCAGCCAGGAAGGGTGCAGAGCACCAGACACACAGTGCATCTCTGCCTAGGCCTGGGGACGTCTTGGGTGCTGGCCGGGGAGGGCCGGGGGACAATGTCCCAGAAGCCGGAGGGGAAGAAGCACAGGCAGGAGCCAGGTGACCACAGCAGGCTTGCTGGTGTGACTCCCTTGGCTAGTTTGGCCTGCCCACCAGCTACCGGCTCTGTTTACTCAACAGTTTTCTTTAAATCAACACATTCTTGGTTACTGTACTGAAGTTAATTTTAAAAGGAAAAAAATTTTAAAATAGAGGTAAATCAGTAACAGCAACTAAATGTTGAAAGGGATCATAAAAATAAATACAAGGCAACTGGGTGTGGTGACACACACCTATAATCCTAGCACTCTGGGAGGCTGAGGCAGAAGGATCATCAGTTCTAGTCCAGTCTGGGTAATTTAGTGACTTAGCAAGACCTTGTCTCAAAAAAAAAAAAAAAAAAAAAAAAAAAAAAAGAAAAGAGAAGGGGTGTGTGTGTGTGTGTGTGTGTGTGTGTGGGCTCTCTCTCTCTCTCTCTCTCTCTCTCTCTCTTTCTCTCTCTCTCTCATATGCATTGGAGGTTGGAGATGTAGCCAATGCCCTTGATTTGATTCGCAGTACCAAAAAATAAAAAGTACCTCTGGCCCACTCTCTAGATAGTGACCAATGAGCAACCAGGCATGATAATCATGGAGTCTGAGTTAGGTCTTTTCTGCCTTTGAGGCAGGGCGATTATACAGACCTCTGGTGCTGTCCTTGCATGGTGACAGAGATTCTGCCTCTCTGGGTGGGAGGGCAGGCTCAGGGGGGCCCAGCTAGGCAGGGCCTCTGAGCCAGTGTGGCCAGCAGGCTGGGTGCCCCGGGAGTGGTGCACGCAGTGGGGGTGGCAGGGGTAGACCTCCCTGGTAAATTACTGGGTCAGTGGGCCCCTCCCCAAAGTCCAGGCCTTTCATCCAGCTGGGTCTCCCCCCAGTAAGAAAGCATCAGTTCCACCATGTTTGTCCAGAAATTAATTAGCAATTTCTTCCATGTTGGGGGTAGTGGTGGACTGTCAGGAACCCAGCAAAGTTTGGAAACGACCCTGTCCACTCCCATGTTGGCTACTGCAACTTCCCGTGTCTGTGGGGTGGTGACGGAGCTAGTCCTTTATTCATGGGTGCTTTGTGCTGGGTGACTGTGGCCCAGGTCTGGAGCTGGTGGCTGGGGTCCCAGGGGTGGGGATCACAGTGTTGAAATCCACAGGGGTGGATTTTGTAGGAAGGGGCCCAGGATATGTGAGTGGGGCTGTCAGTTTGGAGTGTGAATCTGGGCAGGGGGCTTGTTGCTGGCACTACAGTGGCTAGGCCTGGGCTGATGCAGTGGGGGACAGAGCCGCAGGATATGGTCTCTGATGAGGTTGCTCGGAGTCCATGGCAGCAGGAGGGCTGGCTCAGGCTTCCTGCAAGAGAGGTGTGTGCTTTGAGGAAAGGGCAGGCAGGTGAGGTGGGTCTGGGAGAGGTGATGGAACAGAGGCAGGGGTGAGGGTAGAGGCCATGGTGTGCCCAGGGGAACTCCTGGTGGGCTGTTGGAGGGTGCAGGACAGGTGAGCACAGGTGGGGAGGCCAGGAGGCTCAGGAACTTCTCCAGGGCTGAGGGAGGGGCACTTTCTTGGGCCTGGCTCTGGAGAACTAAGACCCCAGGAGGGAGGGGACCCTCATATCCTCCTGTGAAGTCCTCTGTGGTTTAGGAGGACTCTGTTAGTGACAGCCAAGGCAAGGGCTGCCTTGCATGTCCCTTACAGCACTTCAGGAGCTAACTTTGGGGAGGAGCCTGGCCACAGGCGGCAGCCCTGGCCTTGACCTCATTGCCAGCAGGGCTGGGCCTTGCCCTGGGGCGGGGGAACCACAGTCTCAGCAGGGCCTCTTCTATGTGTTGCTTCCCTCAGTGTTGTGTTTGTGGCCTCATGCTGGCAGCTTCCATTTGGCCGCAGTGGGAGAATTCACGCCACAGGAATGGGTGAGTGCTGCCAGTCAGGGCTCTTCCTGTTTTGGAGAGTGGGTTTGCTAACATACCACATTCTTTTCCCCAAGCCCCCTGATAATGTGCTGGAGCCTCCTGTGGCTTCCCAGTCCCTGCTTCCATCCCCTTGCTGTGAGGTGCTGGCACCTCCTCTGCTGAGCTCACTTCCCTGTGTGAGGGGAAATCAGAGGGTGGCGGCTGCTTGTGCCGACTCCGGAGCTGTGGAACTGTGCCGTATCCCAGCTCTTTGCTGGGGGACAAACTTGCCGCATGCCGTGCGTCCTGCAGAGGGACTGGCATAGCCAGAAGTGCTCCGGAGCAGATTGAAAACCCAGCATCTTGACAAAGCTTGGTGGCCTTTGGGGGCCCTTGGCTCAGTCAGCTAATGGCTCTGGTCTCCAAAATCCTTACTTGTGTGACAGGTTTGGGCAAAAGGGTATTTGGGGTCCCTTCCAGCTCTGACACTGGGCCCTGCAGGCCTGCCCCCCAACACGTCCGCATATTTTTCTCTCCTATCCGCTTCACCTCCGCCACCCTGGTCGGCCTTCCCAGCGGGTGACAAGGCTACCCCTCTCTCCTTATCCTCTGCCCTCCAGGCAGGGACTGTCACCTGGTCCCTTGGTCTGCAGTGCTATCATTTTTTTTTTAGTGCTATCATTTTGTGCCCTGTGTATGTCGAGTACATCATCGAAAGCCTCAAATGTGAGTTGCCTGCCAAGCCACACACACGCCGGGAGCCAGGTCCCAGCTGCTGCTGGGCCATGGCTCTGTGTGGCTGCATCACGGGTGAGAAAAATGCGTCAAGGCCAAAGCAGAACCTGGATTTCAGGTCCTCCCCCTCCTTAGCCTCACACCTCGGAGAGTAGCTCTGCCTGCCCTGCGACCCAGCCTCAGACGATGCTACGTTTGCCCTTTCTCTTTATCCCCACTCCCTCTCTCCATAAGCCTAGAATGCAGGGTCTTCTGAAGGTGTCCTCAGTCTGTCCTTGGTGTCACCTCCATCCCTGCCACCAGAATGCCCTCCCCGGACCATTGTGGTGACCTTCTAACTGGCTACCACCTGCTCAGATTTCTGTGCTCCTGCCTAGCACCAGGGCATTCGGGTGACTGATGGCCCCAAGCCATGCTGTGTCCTGGAATGTCCTCTGGGGCTCCTGCTGCATGTGGAGTGACTCAGTGGGGCCATACATGTCACATGGTACCCTTCTCCCGGTCTGACACCTGCCTCTGTCTCCAGAAGCAGGCTGACCTTGGGGCCGGCACTGCCAGCCTCTTGCCTGGAGTCTCTGCCCCCATCCCTTGTGCTGGGTGTGGCTCTCTCCTTCCTGTCCCTCAGCGCCCACTGCAAGTCTACTGTCAGTGCTGTCTTGTGTGTGGATTCGCTCACTTCCTGTCCATGCTGTCCCTGTCCCTTAGGTCACACATTCCCCAGGTGGACCTGGTCCCTCTTGTTCACTGTGTCTTCAAGACCAAAGCCTGGCCCAAGTGAGCTTCTGTCCTGCATTTCTAGAGGGGTGCATGACTTTCCTCTGCTTTGGCCAGGACCAGGGGCAGCACAGAACGGAGAAGTGGGGTAGCCCTGCCCCCTGGCTTTCAGGACCTACACCTTTCCTCCCAGCCGTAACTTACTCCCCACCGAGGGAATGCAGGGTCTGTGAAGGAGGGAGGAGGTGGTAGCCCTGTCCTGCTGCTCAGGTGCGTGACAGGGATGGCAGGCTGGGGAGCACGGCCATGCCCACCCCTCCTCCCAGGCCTCTGACCTTGATTGTGAGGCTTTATGCAACGTGGACCAGAAGAATCAGGGCTCCCAGCAGTGCCATCGCAGAGAGGGGCTGTCTGTGAGGCGGGAGAGCAGAGCCTGGGGGAAGCCGGGGGTCTGGTGAGGAAGGCAGGGCAGCCCCACACCCAGCCACCTCCACTCTCCGCCCCGCCCCCGCCAGTCACACAGTGCACCGGGTTACAGCACACAGGCGAGTGTGTGAACACAGTGCTCTGGGCCAGAGAGGGCACCTCCCTCACCTGATCGGAGCATGGGCCTCAGTGTATCCGGATGCCCGTCATTGGCCTCAGGTGTGATACCCAGCAGCTGGCATAGGAGCTCATATACATGGATGCTCTCGAAGGGCTCTACCTCCAGGCCAGCCTTGAAGCTGGGGCCCACGGCCCGGAAGATGGTCTTCATGTCCATGGCTCTGTGGTCAAAGCCATGCTCACCTTGGTTGAATTGGACACTCCATCTCTATGCGGAGGGTGAGGAGCCAGGGATGAGTGTTCCCCAGAAGCCCCCCACCCCTACTCCACCTGTGTTGCCTGTGGCTTGGCATCGTGTGGGTCAAGGGGCTCTGAGACTCAGTTTCTCTGAATTCTGAGACCCCAGAGATAGAACCTCAGTGAATAGCTGCTGAAGTAAATGGTGACCTTAAGCCAGTAAGAGGCAAGGGTTGCTGAGGTGAAGGCAGGCCTCTTGCTGCAGCTGAGGCCCTGGCTTCCTTCCGCCCTCATATCTTCCCCTGCTCTGGTCTCTGCTTCCTGTTCAGCACCCCTGTCCCTGTGGTCCCCGTCATCTCTGCAGCTGGGGTCCTCACACTTTACCCTCAGCACACACACACATGTGTATAGTCGCATGCACTCTGATCACACAGGGGTACGCGCGTCCATTTGGTAGCTGACACTCAAACTGTGAACTCGTGAGAAACGGGGCCCTTTTGTAGAAGTGGGAGGAGCCCTAGGGAGCCCAGGCCCCTGTGTGTCCAGCAGACTTACCCCATGGATGACATAGCCCAGGTCACTGTACATGAGCAGGGGAGTGATCCTGGCGTTGTTGGCGTAGTGGAAGGACTCGGGGAACTCCTCCTTCTTGTAGACATGCAGCCTGGGGTGGGCGTCCTTGAGCACCTCGTACACCTTCTCCAGCAGCCCCTCCTTGGGAATTAGCATCCCATTTGGCCCATAGTCCAGGAGCTCGAACTCAATGTCCTGGAAGGTGAAGTTGGGGAACTTGTGGAACTCCACCAAGTCACTGGCTGTCTTGTTGACAGTTGTCATACCGTGGTCAGATGTGATGATGAGGTTGAGGCTGCCTGTGAGGTTGTGGCGCTCAATGCTGTCACGAAGGTAGCCCACCGTCCGGTCCACTTGCCTCACCATCTCCTTCCTCTGCGGGGACTCGGGGCCATACCTGTGGCCAGTTGAGTCCGGCTCCCCGAAGTAGAGGGTGACCAGAGCCAGGTCCTCCTCAGTGAACCACCTCATCACAGTGTCCACATTCGCCCTCCACTCCTGCTCGTCTTTGTAGTTGTGTACAGGGCCTTCCTTCCGGCTCAGCGTCACCGCCTCCCCTTGGTAGGTGACGTTTCCACCAGGGTAGAAGAAAGAGCCGGTCTTTAAGCCCTGCAGGGAAAGGTGGGATTAAAGCCACGGGGCTGCCTGCCTGTTCCACACCCACTCACTCACACACACCACCCGCCCGCGTCTGGGTCCCCACTCAGCTCTGCTCCTGCCTGTCGCCATGAAGCTTTTTATTTTCTAAAGGAGCCCTTGTTTCACATTATCTGGGCCAGGACCAATTTATGCAGGAGATAATAAAAGCCTGGAGCTCTCAAGCACTAAATGACACTATTGATGAAAAATGTCCCCCAACATGCCATGTCCTCACCGTCCTTGTGGCTCTGGGTGCCAGTCTTGAGGCCAAGCTGCCCAGAGGGCCCTCCCTTGTGACTGCAGCTGGCCTCCACTGCTGGCCTCTCCTCCGGGTGTGTGTCTGTCCAGTTATCTATCTCACTCCTCCAGCTTTCGCCCTGGCCATCCACGTTCCCATAAATCCATTGCTGCTCCTTTATGACTCCATCTGTCCTTCCAGCTCTCTGTCCACAAGCCCATCTGTCTGTCTGAGCTCAGGCCCTTCTCTACTGAGGATGGAATACCATGTAGAGTCATGTTCCCTGCTTTGGCTTTCTGCTCTGGGACCCTGGGGAGGAGCCCTAGCAGCTGTACAGGCAGGAGCAAGGGAATCCATGTGGTTGGCCTGAAATCTTCCATTTGACTGTGGTGACTAGAAGACTCCAGATGGGACTAGAAGACTCCATGGTGGGGCTCCTGCCTTGACACATCAGCCCACCACCTAGTTAGTCTGGCCTTTGAGAATTCAACTGTACAGCCCGAGAGGGCCATGGGGTGGGAGGGATGCAACAGCTTCTGACTGTATCAAGTTTAACAATGATCTTCCCTGAGTGACTCTTCCCCCAAGGGCTGAAGGGCTCAGGGGCACAGCCTGCCTCCCTTGGGGACAGCAGAGCAATGCCCTGTGATCTCAGAGCTTCCAAGAGGACCAGGCAGGGCTATGCCTATGGCCTGAGCCAGTCCTTGGCCCCAAGCCCCTCCCTTTGGACCTGCTTAACAGCCTTCCATGGTGGTGCCAGGAGCCCTTGACCTCCAGGCCCGCATGGGCTTGCCTGGATCTTACAGGGTCATGGCTCAGTGTGTCTAGGGCTCCTGTCCCCTCACTGGTGTCTGTGGGGTGGGGGCTGCCTTACCTGCCTCTGGGCTGTAATCCAGATGGGCACACTGCCGTTGTCCCACCAGCTCTGGATGCCAAGCGTGGTGTAGTAGGGCAGCCTTAGCTTGCTGGTGACGTTGTAGAACATGTTGTGGACGACCCCATGGTTCTCCACGTATTTGCCTGGGGGAGGAGGAGGCGGGAAGTGGTGGGAAGTGAGCTAGGGCCCCATGCTGGCTGTCTCAGAGGCCCTGTGTCACCCCACTCTGGGATTCTTGTTTAATGGATCCCCTGGGTGTTTTTATTTGCCCTCCATTGGGTGCCACCAACAGAAAGGATTTCTTCAGTGCCCTTGTCTGAGTCCTGGCACTGTGAGGCCCTTCTTGGAGCAAGGTCTTGTCACCTTTGTCCCCAGAGTGCCTGGGACCTCAGGCACCTTTGTCTCCAGGGCTCTGGGACCTCACTGCGGCTCCTACTGCCCTTCTCCCACCCCATGGCTAAAGCTTACCAGTGACCAGCGTGAAGTGGCAGGGGCTGGTCAGGGTGACAAAGGCAGGGGTCATGTAGCGAGCTTTCACCCCATCTTGAGCCATGGCATCCAGGTTGGGGGTGTCCACATCCTGGTCATAGTTCCAGCGGAAGCCATCGAATGACACAAGGAGCAGCTTCTGTGGGGGGCCCTCTGTGTGGACAGGAGCCCCAGCCCCTGCAGTCAGAAGGGTGGCCAGAGTCACAGCGAGGAGGACATCTGAGTGTGTCATGACGGACTTTTCACTGAGCAGGTGCACAGGGAGCTTGTGCCAGGAGGAGGGCAAAGTCCCAGGATCAGCTGCATTGCCTTATCCTGTGCATCCTTGGAGAAGGGGTGGTGCCCAGGAAGGCGCTCCTGGCAGCGGGGTCCAGCCCTTGTGAGTGGAGTGGTATAAACTTGTGTGTCCCCTTTTCTGCCATCAGAGTCTGCTGGACTCCTCCCCTCCCTTCATTCTCACCTGTCCCCCCTGGGAGGATGGGGACCAAGAGCCCAGAACATAATAGGTTACACATTCCACTTGACAGCAGTACCCTGCCCTGGCCGGGGAGAATTTCTAGTTGTTGTGCCCCAGCTCATGCTGACCTTGGAGGACCAATGTGGAGGGTAGTGTACCTTCTCCTTCAGCAGGCCTTTGGGGCTTTGGGCCTAACTGGGTGGGGGCTGTTTTGGTTACTTTTCTCTCGTTGCTGGGACAAAATATCTGATGCCCAAAATTAAGGAAGGAAAGGTTTATTTCGCTTACAGTTTGTGGAGGTTTCAATCCGTACCTGGCAGATTATAAGGCAGAGTGGCACCTGGCAGAGGGCTGCATCTCAGGGTGGCAGCACACAGCTAAGCAACAACCACACACCAGGGCGGAATGGGGGAGGAATGCCCCAAGCACTCTTTTCCTCTCTCTTACATATGCAAACTATCCACTCCAGGGCGGGTGCAGCTCTCACACCCATATTCAAACTCTAATAGCCTGCCCCAGGGCTGCAGGAGGCTTTGGGGGGACACACAGACATAAACCATAACAGGGGCCTAAGGAGCAGGTGACCCCTTGTTCACGTGGTGCCCCAGCCTAGATCTATCTCTCTTCCTCTCCTTGGTCTGTTAAGGGCTCCTGGGAGGGGATGAACCAGATATAGTGGTGGCCTAGATGATAAATGGGGGTAGAGTTGAGGTGAATTTTGTAGGCTTTGATAAAAGGACTTGCTATTGTATCGCATAAAAGGGAAGGGTGAGGATATGTCACAATTTTTTTTTTTTTTGATACAGGTTCTCAATATGTAGTTCAGGCTGGCTTGGAGTTTGAACTCGCAGCGATTCTCCTGCCTCAGCTTCCTAAATGCTGGGATTACAGGCCTGTGCCATATCTAGCTCAACAGTCTAAATCTTGAACTGCAGACTGGGCAACAGCTACCCGCTGCCTTTTGACTTCTACACTTCAGACACAATTGCTGTGTGTTTGCCCCTGCACTTGTTTCACACCACAGATGCCATCAGCAGCCTCTGCTGAGGTACAACCAAGGTTATGTGGCCCAGGCACCATGGGGTGCAAATTGGGGGCCCTCTTCTCCAGACCTTTGGAAATACATTCTCTGGAGAGGAATGTGTGTTGCACACCTGGCTTTGGTAATACTGTGTCCACTGAAAGTTGAGAGCCATGTAATAGGCTGACCACTGCCACTGAAGGGGAGGTGAAGGCTAGGGTACAGGACTCCAACAGAGTGGCCGCCTCCTCTGGCAGGGCTCACCACAGACCCCAGTGCAGAGGTTACCTGAGTGGAGTGAGCACACATAGATCCATGTGCAGGAGAGCTGCAGGCTGCTTGGGACAGGACATTGGTGTCCATGATCACCAGCTTTGGAGAGCCCAGACAGCTCCTGTGAGCATCTAACATTCATACAAGACCTACAGGATGGATTGATCCTGGGAAGTGCGGGACAGATAGAAAGTGAAGGAGTACCCAGGGCTGGAGAGGGCAGGGTCACCCAGGAACCTATGGATTGTGAAAGGGGCTGGGTTTTATGCTGGGCAGAGATGGCAAGTTGTGTATAACATCTGTTCTTCATGGCAAGATGGCTGCCAGAAGGAAGACTCCATTTTCCAGCATCCTGTGCAGCAAGGTTTGGCCACATGACCACATCCTGGCCAATGGGATGTAAGGAGCAGAACCGTGACAACACCCAGGCTTTTGCCGCAGAGTGCTACCTTGGTCTTTTTTTTGATTCTTCCTCCTCTGGTGCCTCCAGTGCTGATGCTACCTGGAGCTCCCTGGGATGGTGGGGGTGACAAAAGGGTGGTTGGTCCTCTAGGGTTTCCTGAACAGCATGGCCCCCAGCCAGCCCTGGGCAGCTTGGCTCCAGGCTCATCTTGGTAGAATTTAGTACACCTCTGCTGTAGTTCACTTCCTGTCACATGGACTTGCTGACTTTCTCAGTGAGAACACCTCTCAGTGAGAACCACATCTTAGCTGATAACAGAATCCCAAGGCTGGGAGGCATTGCTGGATGTAAGAAGGGGCCAGATAGGCTGTGCGGCTGCCAGGTGGGAGAAGGCAAGCTGGGAGCCGATGCTCTGGTCCAGGTCTGGCCGAGTGGGGCAGACTTGGAATATCTTTGGGGCTAGAACTGGCCTTGGTGGTGGGTGCATGTTGTCATTCTGCAGTTTCTCATGCTGGCCCCGGTCCAGGTTGTGACAATCCCACATCCTGCACATCCTCTCCTGCCTGCCTGGGCTTGGCATGAAAGTCTGCTCCTGCTGTCCTCGGGACATTTCGGCCAGGCTTGGGCAACTTGTTCCTTGTTCTGGCTTTGCACGTCGTTCATGTTTGTATGGGAGCCCTTCGTCCACCCTATGGGCTTCCACTTCCTTCCTGGTCTGAGAGTATGTAATGGTTGATTTAGCTGCTCGTTCCAGGCTTTTCTTACAGACCAGGCAGCAGGCTCGACCCTGGATCTCACTGGAGCTCTGAGCTTGCATATGGGACTTAGGAATACCCTCACTTTACAGGTGGGAAACCAAGGCAGAGAGGAGGTTATGGCCGTTCAGTGAGTGGAGGAGCTGAGCTTGAACCCACATTGAGAACCCTCTTCTAACCACTTCTGTACACCAATTTACCAGCCTTGTTCACTTAGGATGCGACCGGGCTTTGGGGCTACCGACAGCTTTTTCTTTACAAAATAGTGCAGCTGTGAATGTCTTGCCATCCCTGATGTCTTTTCTTTTCCTTTCCTTTCCTTCATTTCCATCGCACTGACTTTCCTGGGGGTGCAGTTCTTGGAGAAGGGCACTGACAAATGACTTTAAGGTTGCTTGTTCCTGCTAGGGGGCTGGGGTCCGATGACAAGACCATCTCCTTGAGCTACATGTAGTTAGCCTCTTCTGTGTCTTCCAGGCCTGGAACTTGGCCTTTGTCCTTGGCTTATTGAGTTAGCTTAGCAGGCATCTTGCTGCCTGCTAAATGAACATCCAGATTAAATGAACATCCAGAAATTCTGTCTGATCAGCACCCTTGAAATCTGATCAGATTCCTTGCCCTTCACCTTTACTTCGATCTCTGACCTCCCCGTGGGGATCCTGTGGAGTGGTCTAGTAAGAATCCCCCCGGCCTTGATGTTTCCTCTTCCCCTACCCTGTTCCTTGGCCAGATAGCACAGCTTATCTTTGTTGGAGTCAGACTGAGCCCAATCTCTGTCCTCTACTATAAAACCCCATTGTACAAGCCCCTCCCTCTAGTCTTACTTGCTGTGTGTAGCAGATGTTATTGAATAATTTTTCCTCTTAGCTTAGAAAAGGTTGAAGTGGGGCTGAAGCTGTCGCTCAGGGGTGAGCACTCCCTAGCATGTGTGAGGCCTCAAGTTCCATCGCCAGCTCCACAAAAGCAAAAAGGTTTGAGGCAACTGGCGGTACCCTGGCCCCTCTGCCCTCTGAGCGCTGCTTTCTTGAGTTTTATTTTTTTAAGATTCATTTTTGGTGGCTTGGTAGGTGTGTGATGACGTTTCAAGCTATGAAGCTGGAGAAGCTAGGAATGTTTCCATGTCAGGATGGTTCCTCCGCCTCTCTAAGGGAGGGCTGTTTATTGTCCTGACTGTTGATAAAGGTGCCTCCAGCACTGGATCCCGCAGTGTCATTGGTTGTTCATGTAGTTGGTGGTGCATAGTTTTAGGGTTTATGACTTGGAATAAATTTTCCTGATAAACATTTGTCACTTATGCTTGTCACTCAGATGTTGTGTGTGCCTTGGTAGATAGCAGAGTCTGAGTTCCTCAACTCAGGGCCTGGTGTGTTGGTCATTACTGTGTCCCCAAGGACTGGTAGGGTCCCATACAGCGTAGGGCTAGCACAGTTTTGTTGAATGAATAAACAAATTTAGAGAAAAAACTTATGCCATTATTTACTTTCTGGTTAGGCAAAATTTTTTTCTGCAATACTGGTGACTGAGCCCAGGGTCTTTTATCTTTTTGTACTGTTTTAATTTTGAGACAGGATCCCACAAACTTGCTAAGTTGCCCAGGGTGGTTCTCCTGTCTCAGCCTCCCAGAATGCTGGGATTCCAAGTACGTGCCACTAAAGTGGTATAGACAAAACTTTTTTTCCCTTGAGACCAGGTCTTGCTATGTAGTCCAGGATGGCCCTGAACTCACCGTTAAGTTTACGCTGGTCTCAAACTCAGGCAATCCTTCTGCCTCAGCCTCTCAAGTGCTGCGGTAATAAGTGTGTGCCACCATGCCCAGCTGCAAAACTTTGTTTTAAAAAATAGATTTTTTTATTTTGCAATAGCTTTAGGTATCCTGTAAAGTTCTCAGCACAGTACAGAGAGTTTCCATGCATACCAGGTGCAGTGATGTACATCTGTAATCCCAGCGCTCTGGGACACTGAGGCAAGAGGATCACAAGTTCGAGCTGGGCAATTTAGCCAATCAGCAAGATCCTGTCTCTAAATAAAAAATTCAAAAAGGAGTGGGCATGTAGCTCAGTGAGAAGGCCCTTGGTTCAATCGCTAGTACCACACACATGCACACAGACACACAGACACACACACAGAGCTCCCAGTCACTGCACTCCTTCAGTGTCTTAGGGCCAGTTTCCATAACTAATGAGGCCCACTGACAAGTTTTTAACCTAATCCTCGTTTTCGGGTCTGGGTCCTACCCAGGGCCCGACATGACCACTACTCCTCCATCTCCTTCTGCTTCTCCTGGCTCTGACAGATTTTTAGACTCCCCTTGTTGGTTTAAAGC